CATACAAACAACACACACACAAACAAACACATACATGTTGCATGAGACAGCGGGGGTCTCTATGCAATCGAACCCAACCATCGCGCGACGCCCAACATTCCTAAACAACTGCCGCAAAGCACAAATCCAACTAACGAGAATAATGAGAATAATAATTGATAAGAATAATAACAACGACAATAATAATAATAATAAATAATAATACTAAAATTTAAAAACAATATTCATGAAAAATAATAAATAAATAATAATAAAATTTAAAAACAATATTTTAAAAAAATAATAAATAAATAATAATCAGTAGTATGTAGTGATTGGACTAAAAAGAAACAACAAGACAGTTAATATATATAGAGTATATATACATACATATACATATATTAATATCTGATAACATGTACGGAATTTTTAGGTTTTGAAAATTTACGGCTGAGCTTTTCAAAAATTTCAAACAGTAATTTTATAATTATTATTCAGTTTATTGAATAATTATTGAATAATAATTTTCAAAATTTCAAACAGTAATTTTATAATTATTATTCAGTTTATTGAAATAAATAAGAAGAAAATCAGAGTCATCGGTGTTCAAGATGAGGCGTATGGGTCTTATTTCGATTTAACTCATCATCAGCGCTTATATAGGGATAGTTCAAAGTTTTGCAACTCTCTGTGTGTGTGTTTGTGTGTGTGCGTTTGTGTGTGTGTTTGTGTGTGCGTGTGTGTGTGTTGTGTAGTGTACGTGCCTTGACTAACTGTGTGTGTACAAAGTTCTTTTATTCAGCTTCGCCCTGTCCGTTTATTAGATCTCCCATCACTATGCTCCCATCACGCCCCCTTACTATGTCCAAAAGAGAGGGAGCCATTGGAACTCACCTGGAAACCATACACCAAACCATCCAATCACCAGAAATATTAGGAAACAACACTAGTGTGATATAAGGTAGTGTGAATTGCTGAAGCAGAACAAAGAAAGCTGCAAATCAGCGAGCACTAAAGCATAGCAACATCCTTACCGACCAGAAGAATTCTACTGGAAGGCTTTACAAGCAAAGAGAAAGAACAGAACAAAGATATAATATACGGACAAGACAAAGCCGAATGAAAGAACTCTGCACACACACACGAAGAATTTTGAAACCTCGAAATATTCCTATATAAGCACTCGAGATTAGTGAAATTGAAATATAGACCATATGCACGCTTCACCGCGAACACCGGCGATTTTCTAACTCTAATAAAGTGAATAATAATTGCAAAAATTACTGCTAGAAATATCGAAAAGTTCAACTGTAGACATTCAAAAGTTCAAAATTCTGTAGATTTTATCAAATATTGCTCAGCTATGGTCTCCCTTTCTATATATATATATATATATATATATATATATATATATATATATATATATATATTGTATAAAACAATCACAATTAACATGATATAAGACATTTATACAAATATATATACACATACATACATTTACACACACACACACACCCACACACATATATATATATATTTATATATATATATAAATGTATATTATAATATGCTGTGTATGGCCATTTGTATTTCATCATTATCATTACCTCTATCATCATCAGCATCATCATCAGTAATAAAGGACATATTATTATTATTATTGTTATAGTTATTATTATTGTTATAGTTATTATTATTATTATTATTATTATTATTGTTGTTGTTGTTGTTCATATTGTTGAAAGAGTCATCATCATCATCGTCACCATTGCAATTTCTCTTCCTTATATTTACAATTTCACAAACATCATCATCATCATCATCATCATCATTTTTATTTTTATTATTAATATCACCATCATCACCACCATCATCGTCGTCGTCGTCGTCTACATGGTAATAAATAATTTTATTATCATCATTATATTTATTATTATTATTATTATTATTATTATAATCATCATCATATGTTATATTATTATTATTCTTTTTCTTATTATTATTATTATCATTATCACCATTATTAATATTGTTATTGAGCTTAATGTAAAAGCTATTTATATTGTCGAATATATTATTCTTGCCATTATTATTATTATTATTATTATTATTATTATTATTATTATTATTTATACTATCACTATCAAAACCTCTATCCCTGAAAACTATGCCACCATCATCATCACCATCATCACCATCGTCTGCATCGTTCGCATTGGAACTTAGGAGTAGGCCAGCAACGGCCATATCATCTTCATTATTATTATTATTATAAATATTATTATTATTATTATGGAAAGGCGCTACTACGGCTGTTGCAGTCGGCTTATTATTATTATTTTTATTATTATTATTTTTATCGGTTTTCGTATTATAAATTTTATTGTTATTATTGTTGTTTTTATTTTTATTACTATTGTTGTTGTTGTTGCTATTATTAGCCACTGGGATTTTCCTGAATGTTAATTTGGTAGTTTGGCTTTTGTTCGGAGGGCCCAGGAGTTGGAAAAAACGCTTCTGAGTAGTTGTTGCTTTTCCGCCGGAAATGACGTCTTCGCCATCATCATCATCATCATCTTGTTCATCCTCATCTTTTTTGATATTCTTCATTCTTTTCGTCCATCCCTTTTCTAAATTAACACCGCCATCATCATCATCATCGTCGTCGTCTTCATCATCATCGTCGTTTTCCTCTTCTTCATCGTCATCATCATCATCATCATCTATTCTCTTAAGGCTGATTCGCGGTATTTTGATTGGCGGGATTTTGTCGATGACGTCACCATCATCATCATCATCTTTTTTATCATCATCATCATCATCGTCATCTCTTTTAACGTCATCATCATCAACTCTTTTTAACTTTAGCGACAATGATAAGCAACCCCTCCGCTTTCTCGTCAACGATGATGATGATGATTTATTATTATTATTATCATTGTGATTATTATTATTATTATTATTATTAATTTTATTATTTTTGATTCTTATAAGCAAGGGCGTTTTAGACTTCATACGATCATCATCGTCTGCCTCACAACCATCACCATCACCATTATCACCATTATCATTATTATTATTATTATTATTATTATTATTATTATTTACATCATCACAATTATTTTTATTGACATTTTTAACATCATCGTCATCATCATCGTCGTCATCATCATCGTCGTCATCATGTTTAGCTGGAGGGTACAATCGTGCCATTTCTTCGAGCGGTAGTACGGGCCTTGGTACGAAGGACTCTACGCAAGGAGTGATGGAGGAATGAATGAATGAATGAATGGATGAATGAATGAATGGATGGATAGATGAAAGGATGAATGAGAGATCGAATGAATGAATGAATGGATGAATGGATAGATGAAAGGATGAATGAGCGATCGAATGAATGAATGAATGAATAAATGGATGAATGGATAGATGAATGAATGGATGGAAGAATGAATGAATGGAGGAATGAATGAGTGATCGAACAAATGAATAATGAGTAATTGAATGAATGAAATCAGTCATTCTGCAAGCCACCGGGCCAGTTAGCTAGATCAATCGATTCAACTCGATCAATTATTCATTCACTCATTCATTCATTCACTCATTCATTCATTCACTCATTCATTCATTCACTCACTCACTCACTCATTCACTCAACGTTTCTTCACTCGACCGACTGAGCAACCGGCCAGCCAATCAGAGCGAAGCTAACCAGGACACGTAGAAACTAGGTCACGTTCCTCTTTCAGCAAGGCCTTCTCTTGAATAAGGAACAGTCGACCTAAATAGACCTCCTCGGCCGCCTCGCACTGTTTCTGTCGGTTGCATAAATTATGTTAATAAGATAATAAGAACCTGCATGAATTATGCTAATGAGGGCGATCGTCAGCGTGCAGCATGAATTACGTCAGTACGGGTAAATTATGTTAATAGGAGCGATTAATAGTATGCATGAATTATGTTAATGAAGGGCGATCGTCAGTGTGATTAATATAACAGTATTCATGAATTATGCTAATAAGGGCAATCTTTAGTATGGGTAAATTATGTTAACTAGGGCGATTGTTAGTATACAAATTAATAATAACAACAATAATACTAATAAGAAGAAAAAGAAGGAGAAAAAGAAGATGAAGAAGAAGAAGAAGAAGAAGGAGAAGAAGAAGAAAGAGAAGAAAAAGAAGAAGAAGATGAAGAAGAAGAAGAAGAAGGAGAAGATGGTAATCATGACGAACCATGGATTTCTGAATTAGTATTTCCCTGTACTTCTCCTTTTGCTCGTGCATCTGCTGCAGTAGCCTCCCACTCATGCCCTCGTACAGATCATCAGCTGTTGATGGCAACAAATGTTGAATGTTGATGGTGATGGCGATAATGTTGGATGTTGATGATGATGGCAATAATGTTGATGGTGATGATGATGGCGATAATGTTGAATGTTGACGATGATGATGATGATGGCAATAATGTTGAATGTTGACGATGATGATGGAAAAAATGTTGAATGTTGATGGTGATGATGATGGCGATAATGTTGAATGTTGATGGTGATGATGATGGCGATAATGTTGAATGTTGATGGTGATGATGATGGCAATAATGTTGATGGTGATGATGATGATGGAAAAAATGTTGAATGTTGATGGTGATGGCGATAATGTTGAATGTTGATGGTGATGATGATGGCGATAATGTTGAATGCGGACGATGATGACGAACAAGAGGAGAGGAGAAAGAAGATGATGATGACCATGAGACGGAAGTGATGATGATGATGATAATAAAAAAAACCCACCCCTGGCGATGACGTCATCGTCGTCGAAACCAGTCTGGTACACGTGATATGGAACCAAAGACTGCAAAGCCTCTCTCAGGGTCGATATCGGATCGGTGACGTTAGGCTGTCTTGCTTTATTTTGATCTTTCGCCAACAGGAAGTTGATTCTGATTGGTCGAGAAGAAGAAACATTATTACATTCAGATTATGAATGTCAGACACACACATGGAGACACACACACACACATAAACACACAACACACACACACACACACACAGAGAGAGAGAGAGAGAGAGAGAGAGAGAGAGAGAGAGAGAGAGAGAGAGAGAGAGAGAGAGAGAGAAACACACACACACATAAACATACAGATAAATACACAACACACACACACAAAGACTGCATGCATGCGATAAGCGAGGATCTCCATGCAATCGAACAAGGTCACTGTAGAGGCAGCAATATAGCGGCATAACCAGGCGTCTTAACCATTAAATAATCTACAACAATATGTAAATAATAATAATAATAATTATTATTAGCAAGTTAGTCACTTCTCTTGAGTCGTCAGCTTGCTGATTGTGGAAACCGCAATGGCGGTCGTCATCATCGCTGCCGTAGTCAACACGGCAGCTGCTGAAGCCGATGAAGTAGCTGCTGGGAAAGAAGAAGGTAGTACTGCTGATGAGGATGATGATAAGGAGGAGGAGGAGGAAGAGAAGGAGGAGGACGTTGTGGCTGCTGCCGCCGCTGAATGAAAGTTCAAGATTGTTGTGGCTGTCGCTGTGGATGATGAAGCTGCTTTATAAAATAAAGACGTGGAAAATGACGGCGATGACGATGAAAAAGGCATCACTGATGATGATGATGACGCAGATAAAGAGAATGACGTCACTGATGACGATGACGACACCGATGACGAAGACGACGACGAAAACGTCGCTAGCAGTGGAAACCGGCTGCTTAGCAGAGCTTTCCTTATCACAATTCCAGATGGAAGAACAATCGTATTACTACTACTACTACTACTATCACTACCACTACTACTACTACTACCACCACCACCAACAATACTACTACTAATACCGGCTACATTACTTAGACTAGTAGTAGTAGTAGTAGTAGTAGTAGTAGTAGTAGTAGTAGTAGTACTAGCAGTAGTGGTAGTAGTAGTAAGGGAAGCCGTCGTAGTAACTGCAGTATTGTTTTTAAAATAGGTAGTAAAGGGGTTGATATAATTATTATTATTATTATTGTTATTATTATTATTATTGTTATTAATATTAATATTATTATTATTATTATTATTGTTATTACTAAACAGCATGAGATTTCTATTCAATTGAGCCCTGGGAGGAGCTTCTTGCGTTACGTCACTGAGATTGTTATTATTATTATTATTATTGTTGTTATGATGAGTAAATAAACTATTATTATTGTTGTTGTTATTATTATTAATATTATTATTGTTATTATTATTATTATTATTATTATTATTATTTGGCGTGATGGTTGACTTTATTAAGGCAAGATTGTGCAGCGTATCGACTGATAGAAAGCTACTACTACAATTATTATTATTATTAAAAAAATTATTATTACTATTATTGTTATTGTTGTTGTTATTATTACTATTAGTAATAAACAATGGTTTAGTAGTAGTAGTTGTAGTAGTAGTAGAAGTAGCAGTAGTAGTAGTAGTAGTAGCAGTAGTAGTAGAGGTAGTAGTAGTGGTAGTAGCAGCCAGGAGTTGTATCGGCTTCTGCCACATTGAACTATCATTATTATTATTACTATTATGGTTATTATTATTGTTTACGTGAGAAACATAATTATTATTATTATTATTTTTCGTTGTGGCGGCGGTGGTGGTAGTAGTAGCAGTAGTGGCATTTTGGCTTTCCAATAAGGTTGATATCACAGATTGGTTTGTTTGGTTAAAATTATTATTAACATTAAATATATTATTATTATTATTAACATTAAATATATTATTATTATTAAACATACTATTATTATTAATATTAATGTTATTAAGAGTGTTATTATTATTATTATTATTAATATTATTATTACAAACGCCAACTACATTTTTACCATGGCCACCATTATTATTGTTGTTATTATTATAAATATTATTATTGTTATTATTTTTATTATCATCATTACCATCGTGGTTATTATCGTTGTTATCATTAGCTGTAACTGTAGCTATAGCTGTAGCTATAAATAGCTCGTTAGCTTTGAGTAGAAGAGCTGGCTGGCTAGCCCGAACGAACGACAACAGCTGATGCTTCTGGAGCTTGTTGGAGGCAGCTAGCAGCTTCAGCTGCAAGTCCGGATTGTGCTTGAAGTAGGTCTCCAGCTGTTTGTGGGGTGGAAGTAATGATGATGATGATGATGATGATGGCAGTATGATGGTGATGTGATGGTAGTATGATGGTGATGATGTGAAGGTAGTTATGATGATGATGGCAGCATGATGATGACGATGATGATGGCAGTATAATGATGAAGATGATGATGGATGGATAGTGCCAGAAAAAGTTAAATGCATTTTATTTAATAATAATAATTAATAATAATAATAATAAATAACAATAATGATGATAAGTGGCAAACTTTTATTCTGTTGTTGTAATCTAGGCCTTCGTAAAAATCTTTCAACAAGCTCATATTATCTACTGAAAATGATTAATGTATAAAATTCATTAATTCATTAATTCATTCATTCATTCATCCACTATCATTAATTCGTTAATTAATTAATTCATTCATTCATTTTGATTCATAGTTCATCCACATCTAACATGAACTCAGCACGATAAAATGTTAAGTGAAGTCCATCTGCATAGCCGAATCAAGCTTCTTAATTAATATTCATAAATTAAAATTTATTAATTTATGCAAACCCGTCGAGTTCGATTGACAGTCTAATGGGCGGACTTTCGCTATAGGCGCTGATGATGATGTCGTTGTTATAGTGAAAGAATTGTTGTTGTTGATGTTGTTGTTGTTGATGTTGTTGTTGATGCTGTTGTTGCTGTTGTTATTGTTGATGCTGTTGTTGTTGTTGTTATTGTTGAAGTTGTTGATGTTGTCTTGGAATGAATTATTTTGTTGAGAAAGAAATGCAGTTGATGTTGTTGTTGTTGTCTGCGTGACGTTTGCTTGCTGAAACTTCAAGATTTGATGTTGTTGTTGTTGCTGAAGTTGTTGTTGTTGCGGTTGTTGTTGCTGGGGAGGAAACATCTGAAAAGGCTGTTGTTGCGGAGGATTAAGCAGCTGTAGTCGTTCTTGTTGCGGTGGTTGTTGTGGCTGCTGTGGTTTAGGAAGTTGCTGCGGTTGCTGTCCAAATGATGAGATCTGCTGCAATTGCTGCAGCTGCTGCTTTTGATTGAGTTGTTGTTGTTGTTGCAGTAAAATTTGTTGCTGTTGTTGTTGAGTTAATTGCTGTTGCTGTTGTGGTTGTTGCAGCTGTAGTTGCTGCTGTTGAAGTAGTTGCTGATGCAGTAACTGTTGTTGCTGCAACGGTTGCTGTTGCGGCTGGATGGGCTGTTGTTGAATTTTGAAGAGCTGGTTACCAATCTTCAGGACAACATCATTGCAGCTGTTTTGCTGCAGTTGCTGTAGTAGCATCTGCTGCTGCTGTTGTGGTTGTTGAAAGCTACTACCTACAGTTTGCAGAATTTGATGTTGTTGTTGTTGTTGTTGTTGAGCATTATCGTTGCCATTAATGAAAAATAACTGCTTGTGTGGCTGTTGAAACGTCGTCGTCGTCGTTGTCGTCGTCGGTAGCACGTTGACTGTTTGATTCTCAGCTATAAAGAATTGCTGCTGCTGTATCACGCTCGGAGGCCGAATTATTATTCTTTGCTGTTGCGGTTGTTGTTGTTGCAAAACAATTTGTTGTTGTTGCTGTGGTTGTTGTTGTTGCTGCTGCTGTTGCAAAAGAAGATGCTGACGCTGCTGTTGTTGTTGTAGCTGCAGTTGCTGTTGTGGTTGCTGCAAGAATATCTGCTGATTTTGAGATTGGGATAGAAGTATTTGTTGTTGTTGTTGCTGCTGCTGCTGCTGCAATATAAGCTGTTGTTGCTGCTGCTGCTGCTGAAGAATTTGTTGTTGCTGTTGTTGTGGAATAAAAATTTGTTGATGTTGTTGAGATTGTAGTTGCAGTTGTTGATGTTGCAACAACTGCTGCTGTGCTAATAGTTGTTGTTGTTGATGTTGTTGTTGGAATACAATTTTCTGCTGAATGGGTTGTTGTTGTTGTTGTATCAAAATCTGCTGTTGTTGTAGTTGAGGATGTTGCTGATGTTGTTGAAGTTGTTGTTGAATTTGTTGTTGTAATAATAACTGTTGTTGATGCTGCTGAACAAATTGATGGCTGGTCTGCTTTTGTTGTAAAAGCAATTGTTGTTGTTGTTGCTGCTGCTGCTGTTGCAGCTGTAGTTGTTGCTGTTGTTGTTGTTGCATAACTCCTTGCACCGGCAAACTAAAAAAAGAATGGTTAAATTTCATCATTTACCAACGACCGCTACGATCATTCTTAAACTAAGAATCAAATCAATAGAGAGAAGAACAACAATAACAAGATCTGCTGTTGTAGTTGTTGTAGATGTTGAAGTTGTTGTTTTTGTTGTAATAAGATACAAATAATACCTATAATATAATAATAAATAATAATAATAATAATAATAATAATAATGAGTTGTTGTAGTAACAAACCAGTAACATTAACAATAGCAACACTACTACTACTATAAATAAGCCTAACAACAAGAATAATGACAATTAATAGTCAGTAAATCTTAACCAAACAAACCTCGGACTACTGCCCGTGCAGTCGACGCTAATCTGATTATTATTAGAGTATACATCATCATCCTCATCATTATGTTTAGTGATCCCAGGGTTAAAGGTCAGACAAGGGATGTGCTGAGGGTTCAGTTGGGCTGCTACTGGTGTTGTTGATGATGTCGACGCTGCTATTGCTAGGCCACCACCATCGCCGCTGGGGTTGTTGTTGATGCTGTTGATGATGTTGTCGACCACCGATGTCGACGACGACGATGATATCAGGTTCGACCAGTCCATCAAATCGCTCGACAGTTCGAAATCGAGGTCCAGTGAGTTGGAGAATAAATCATCTGGCAGCTGACGGATGATTCATTTTAGGGTGAAAAAGGTAAGGTGATTTTTTTCTAAAATAAATTTCTTACGATAAATTAGGAAATAAATAAAGATTTTAATAGAAAACATCATTATCATCATTATTATTTGATTCTTTTTGGTAGAAAAATGTAAATGTGACACTAAAAAAAATTCAAGTGTTATAATTTGGGGGAAAAAATTAAAATATAATATTAATTTTTTTTTATATAAAATTAAGTATGACAATTTCAATAGTGTATATGTATGTATGTCTATGTATGTCTGTGTCTAAGTCTATGTATGTCTGTGTCTAAGTCTATGTATGTCTGTGTCTATGTCTGTATGTCCTTTTGTCATGGTATGCATGTGCATTTGTATGTATTAAATAAAAAAACATTATCAACAAAAAACACCAATTATTATTTTTTATCATGGGCACGATGTCATATTATTATAATATATTATTATATAATTGCATTTTATTATAATATAAATATTATAATATAAATATTACATTATTATAATATAAATATTTACCAGGAAGGCAATGAATTAAATAAAATAAAAACAGAGAATTGAGAAAACAACGACAATGATATGATTAAAAAAGTTAAGCAAACATTATTGAATTAAAATTGGATTATAAGCCATTTGGTTAACTTAATTGAATTAAAATTAAAATAATTAATTAAAAAATGTAAATTAAAAAACTCATTAAAATCAGACTAACATCAGCTGGAAAATCGCTCTGATGTTCATTCCAGCTATCAAAAATGAAATCAAAGAACTAATTCAACAATTGATAAATAATTGAATTGATTTAATATGAAAAATTAAAAAAACAATATAAAAATTTAGTTCACACGCGCGCGCACACACACACACCACACACAAATTAATTAAATTTTAAATTTGATGTAATGTAAATAAATCAACAAAAGTACCAACCCGGCCATGTTTATATGATCGTTCATCTTTCCCTAATTTCCTAAATTCTGATTACAATTCTGAATTTTACATCTGATTGTGGTCGGCCAGCTAGACCTGTCAAGTTAGGAAGAAGGAAAATCGAAGTTATTAGAAGATTAGGGAATGATTGATCGTTTGACGTTAAAAAAAAAATAATGAATAATTTTCTGACTAAATTAATTTAAAGAAATTAACTTTTCATTTTTAGATTTAATCACTAAATTCGAATTTTATTATTTTGGCAATTTTAGGAAAAAAAAACAAACAAGTGAGAAAAAGTAAAATTCTTAAACGGTGATGTGGTCGTACCAAAGTTAAGTTCGATTCTTAATTTACTTAATTTTTTTAGTTTTTAATACAATTAAAATATTGTTTGAAATATTTGAGAATTTAGTTTTTTTAAATTATTAATTATAAAATGAAACATTAATTGATATATCGTAATAATTGTTTTTATTAATTTTTCAGTTTAGTTCGATTTTTAATTTACTTAATTTTTTCAGTTTACTATACAATCAAAATATTGTTTAAATTATTTAAAAATTTAATTTAAAAAATTTAATAATTATAAAATGATACATTAATTGATATTTGTAATAATTGTTTATATTAATTTTTCAAACTCCGATTCACTTTTAATTTGTTATGTAGGTAATTTGAATGATAGTTCAGATTAGCAGCCTAGATTAGTCAGAAGATTAGTGCAAAAAAACTTCCAAATTACAATTTTTTTTGTTTAATTAATGTACATAATGATGTAAATTGAATCTAACTATGGCTACCGACAGTTTCGAAATCAACCAGCGAATTCAATCTATTGAAGGGGATGACATTGGCACCATAAAATATGTTGGACCCCTGCCAAACACCACCGGACTCTGGTTAGGGATTGATTGGGACAATGAAGAACGCGGGAAACATGATGGCACTTTTAGCGGCCAGAGGTTTATTACTTAAGCTTTCAATCTTAAACCTTTTATCTTATGTTGTTTAAATTTACTTTTTGTAATATTAATAATTGTTTATTAATTGTGATTATTGACAGTTTTTAAGTTTTTTACTTCATTAATTTTCAAAGGTCTTAACAGCACGCACACACACACACACACACCATGCCATATAAAGATAAAATTGATAAGGATTTGTTTGTATTTATCCACAATTAACCACTACCAAGCCATCCTACATATCAACATTTTAATCATCACACTGTTGACTACGTAATGAATCTTCATCTAATGAAATCTTGAAAAACTGAAAAGACTTACTTATAGTAGTCTATGGTGCAATGTTCTAAAAATCTTGTTAAAAAAACTTACTTATTGAGGGAAATGTTTTTTTAGTGTGTTTGTGTGTGTGTGTGTGAGTTAATGTGTGTGTGTGTGTGTGTGTGTATGTGTGTGTGTGTGTGTAGTATATATGTATGTATGTATGTATGTGTGAGGTATGTTTGTATTTTTTAGGTTTTTTGTGACAAGAACTTCAAAAAGTGGATCATTTTTAAGGCCCACAAAATGTGCAACCCCAATATCACTCATGGATGCCATAAGGTTAGAAGCATTGATGACAAAAATTTCTTTTTCTATGGTCTTCTTTATTAATTTTTTGGTTGATTTTCGGATATTTTTAATTTACATTCCATGGGCTTTGTTGTTTCTATGTTTTGCTATCATTGCTAATATTTCTTTGTCTTTGTTTTTAATCTTTCTGTCTATTCAAGAGCGTAGAATATTCATTTATTTTTGTTTAGTTCAAAAATAAATTCATTTTATTTTTACATTTTAATCTTTAGGGAGAAATATGTGGTTGAAAATGAGAGAGTGGATGGCGAAAGTGAAAATGATGAACAGAAGAAAGATGATGGTAAAAGTACTGCTACTACGACTACTACTACTACGAATACTACTACCACTACTACTGCTACTACTACTACTACTGCTGCTACTACTACTACTACTACTACTACTACTACTACTACTACTACTACTACTACCACTAATGCTAGTACTATTACTATTACTGCTACTACTACTACTACTACTAATAATAATAATAATAATAATGTGAACTCTTATTTTCTGAAAAACACACAATCATTTGAAATAAAAATGCAATAAAATGTAATAAAAATGATTGGTTTTTCTTCATTTTATTAGTCTGCATTTTATGGGTTTTCTGTAATAACAATAATAATTATTATATTATAATAATAATAATAATAATAATAATAAAAAGGATAATAATGATAATAATGATAACAATAATAATAATAATAATGTAATAATGATTATGTTGCTGAAGGTGTTCAGAGTATAAATGAGATTGGCTCAAAGAATGTCTATTTCGTCGGCTGTTCGAAAATTGAAAGAGAGCAAAGCAGGTAAGTGTGCCGTGTGTGTGTGTGCGTGTGTGTACGTGTGTGTGTGTGTGTACGTGTGTGTGTGTACGTGTGTGTGTGTGTGGTTGTATTTGTATGCCTTTGTGCGTGCGTGCCTTGTAAACCTGCCTTTTTAAACTCTTAAAAAGTTGTCTTTTAGTTTAAAAGATTTAAAGAGCATAAGCTTGAGGAAGCATGCCATTTCGAGATGCTGCTCGGCCAATCAGACGCTAGATACTCTCGGCTCATTGGTGGAGCTCAGTTTAGCCGACAATCTCTTCACTGATTGGTCGGAGATTCAGAAGATTGTAAATAGTCTGCCCAAGTTGGAGTCGCTCAATTTGAAAGGAAATAGATTTATGAAAGGTTGTGTGTTTTTTTTGGTTGTAAAATATTATTATGAATATTCTGTTGAATGTATTGCTTATTATTATTATCATTATTATTATTGTTATTATTATTTATTTATTTACTTTATTAAATTATTTTTCAGGAATCCCGGAGATAACGCGGCACATAAAAATACTGAACAATAGCGAAATTCTCGCCGTTCACAAAACGCTCATGCACATCCCTACTTCCGGGGACAGTGTCACTAATTCACTAATCACTAACAATGCTACTGATAACAATACTGATACTAACAATGCTAACACTACTACTGCTTCAATGATGAATGATGAATTGGACGATGATGGTGATTTCAATTATAATAATAGTAGTACAATTAGTAGTGGTGGTGCTAATTGTATTAGTAATATTAATTGTAATAATAACGTGAATTTTCTCTGTTTATTTGGGGTTGGGTTTGATTTTGAGCAAGTTCTTAATACCTCCTTCGATTTCGTCAGACTCAAGACACTCATCCTTGCTTATAATCATATTGAGGAGATAGATTTAAATCTTTGGTTATCGGCTACGGGTACATCCCTACTGGCGTCACCCTCGTTGCCATGGCTACCACTTTTGTTTGTCACTAATTTGAGTTTGGAGGGGAATAGGCTGAGAAGTTGGTCGGAGGTTCTGAAGGTTGGGTGTGTTCTTCTGTGGCTGGATGAGCTGAATGTCAGTGCCTGTGGATTGGATGAGGTAGGTGTGTTTGTGTGTGTTTGTTTGTGTGTTTGTTTGTGTGTGTGTTTGTGTGTGTATCTGTGTGTTTGTTTGTTTGTATTTGTGTGTGTGGTGTGTTTGCTTGTGTGCATCTGTGTGTGTTTGTTTGTGTGTATAGTGTTAGTTACTTGTTTAAAGTTTTTGTTCAATGCTTTCCAA